GCAATCCCGAAAATCTTTATTAAAACTAACTTTTGAATGTTTAATCCCAAATACCGGATTGAAAAATAAAACAACATAATTAATCCTAAAAGGCGGAACAAAATTAAACGAAAATTTGTATCCAAATTTATTTTTAATTTTTATAAATTAGTTTTTAATCCAAAACACAGTGTTTTAAAATTTAATAATTTGTAAAAGTTTAATTTTCAATCCGAAAATTGGAAATAACAATTGAAAATCTATATATTAATCTGAACTTTTTGAATGAAAAAATTCGTAACTCTGCTAGCGTTTAGTAAAAATTTCGTTAAAAAAAGTTTAGTCTACTTTTTGGCGTTTAGTAAAGTTTAAGAGGTATTTTTATAAATATCTCGAACGTGATAATATTGTCTACATTTTGGTGCTTAACTTATATCAAAAAACCTTGAGTTAAACAATAATATTGAACAGAATATTTTGCCTACATTTCGGCGTTTAGTTGATACTCCTAAAAATGCAAGATTTCATAACAGAACTTTCAGAAAATTTCAATAAAATAGCTTAACCTCTTCAGTTATTTTCGAACATACAGACTCCTTAGTCAGATTTTGCAGATAACTGAGGTTCAAAAGACTCATTCAAATAAACAGCGGATCTAAATTTATTAAATTAAAACAAACGGTTCATTAACACTTAAAGACGTCGATTAATTATCTGATGGATTTTATTGCAATTATATTGTATTGCCTAGGAATGTTTTATTTTTTTGTCAAATTTTTAATAATATTCTTTTGAATTCCTACTTCGCCAGTAGATTTTGATTAGGCTTGATCCCGAGCATAATAAAAAAAAAGTTACCAGACGCTGTAATGTAGTGCCATACCTTAAGTCATTGTGGCTTCGCTTTTTCCAGAAGTCATATATGAGAAAATCAGAGTCTAAATTTTTCTCGTTTGTGACTAGGTGAAGAAGAAGATTACCAGAATGACTACTAGTTAAACACGTGTTTTTACCTAGTTTAGTGATAAGTTTCGATATAAAGAGGCAAATAAAAGCAGTAATCTAAAGAGTAGGTCTATGCTTAAGAAGAAAACTGTATTTTCTGACTCTAATAATTGATTATAGGTCCAAGACTTGGTAATCTCTGTTTAAAGGGGAGGTTTTGTGATGTGTTATTAAGAATACATAATATTATATCGATCTTCTCATTGTGTTCTTACTTCAGTAAGTCTATGGAAGGCTCAGTCGCAACTAAGTATTCGGAAGAGATTCAGGTTTCTATCCGGTCTAGAGCTGCCAAGATATTTATTGAGTAAAATTTTTTTACCGCTATAATAACAACAACATTCACTAAGTAAGAATTCTCCGAAGTTTTGGGAGAAGAGAAAGAGTCCAAACTTATTGATAAGCTGAAGGTTTTAAATATGAAGAACTATGTATGTGATACCATGATCAAAAGGAAAACGAAAAGGAAAACGGTATAGCTTACTGCTAAGATATTCAGAAAGAAATACTGTGTGGTCAAAATTGACTCGGACTGGTCCTTACAAACTATGTGCCATTTTTTATGTTCGTGTGAATATTAATTAATGTGAATTTGTTCCTCTGTTTGTTAACGACACGAATACTTGTAGTTTATCTGGCGATTTTTACCATGGAAAAAATTTATCAACGAGTTCTCTTGAAATTTTGTGCTACCAATTACGGCAACGCAGTCGTTGAGAATGTTACGGAAGTGGTTTGGGGAGTCAAATTCACGAACACAAGTATATGAATGCCACAAAGCATTCACTGAAGGTTTTGTAGTCATGTGAGTCGTTAATGACAATATCATCGCAAAAATTAAAGAAATGGTACTTGAAAATCATCGTGTTGGCATCAGAGAGGTAGCAGAGGATTTCAACATCCCTTATGGATCGACTAAACACATTTTGGTTACTGTTTTGGGTACGAAGCGTGTCAATGCTAGACACGTACCAAAGAAACTGAATCTTTTGCAGATATGACATCGAATAGAGCTCGTAAATGAGATGCTTAATAGCGTAGCTGAGGATCCTACATTTATTAAACGCATCATTACAGGTGACGAAAACAAATGTTTATGAATAAGACGGCGAAACTGTCCAACAATCTAGCGATTGGTTCTCCAAAAAAATGAGCTAAAATCGAAAAAAAACCCAAAATTCGCTCAAAGCACTAAAGACGATGCCAGCGGAGGCTTATAACAAGTGTATGAAAAATTGAAATAAGTGTTGGCATGATTGTAATGGCTTATTAGCCTATTTTAAATATAATTAATAAAGATTTGTCGTTAATCCGGGTTAAATTTGATCAGATGGTAGATACCATGTAAGAAATTAAAATATAAGTTTCAAAACAAAAAATTGTAACATGCCAAAGCACACGTGATACATCAATTTACCTACACCACTACTAAAACCTACTTTTATTACCTTTCATACAACAGTACGTGTGAATTTTGCATGCAAGTGTTAAAATAGCGTAACTAGAGAACTAGTGGAATGAGTAGGATATGTAAGCTGATAGGCGACAAGTGTTGGATTAAGGGAGATAAGAATGAGGACTCACCAAATCTAATCCGAATAGGCTGCAGGTTTGCTGGATTATCTTTGTGTCGCATTTCTCATTCGGATCAGGTGGTGGTGTGCCGGCGATTGGTTGCGGACGTGGACGCGTTACGGCGCCCATAAGATTTGTCGATTTCGCAGATAGACGCGGTACTGTACAGCAGCAACGAATAAGTGATAAAAGAGGAGAGAATGAAAAACTTAATTTCAATATCATAATTGCATTTGTCACGCCAAGTCAACCGGCAACAATCCTACTTACGCGAATTCGCGCCGCTGTTGGGCAGCAACTTTGTCAGTTTAGTTGCGCTTGACGTAGTTGGTAGCATAGTGAGGACGCCATTAACGCCGCGCGCACGCTTCACACCGCCCATCTTCTTGCGCCACTGCCAGCCACGCCAGGTGGCCTGTATCAAGGTGGCGCTCTTAGTGCGTATCTCCGCGCGCAGATGTTCCAAATGCTGACGCATGCCCTCGCTTAGGAATACGTGGCGCTTGCCAGGCGCCCAAGCGAGCGTGACGGAACCGTCCAACACCGGCGGATTCTCCATGGCAAATTCCAAAATGAGATTGCAATCTTCCATCGCCTTATCCTCGCTGCGGCGATGCAGGCGAAACGGCGCCAACATAGCGACATAACGCGCATTGAACTGCTTGAAGCGCATGCGATGCGGAAAACCAGATGCCATTAGGTTAACGGTCTCCAGCACCTGCAGTGAGCGTATCTGCCGGACGACCATCTTACGTTCGAAACAGCCGGCCGTTTCATTAGCATTGCTGCGTATGCAGCGCACAAAATGTGGACGCGCGTGCACCAGCGTGCGCAGCAAGTTGTCTAAGCGTGTGTGAAAGTCTTGCGTTAGCGTCGAGACGGGTTCATCGCCATTCAATAGATCCGTATGTGATGTGGGTGAAATACGGAAGCTGAGACCGCGTGGCACATTCTGCAACGCGTACAATGCTTTCAGCTCCGAACCAAAAAGATGTGTGGCAAAGCCGAAATTGCAGGTGTGCTTATAGAAGACAGCGACCAAGTCGTCACGCACCACATCACGATTTGTGTCCAGAAAATCGGTGGTATCATACTCCACACGTCCAGCAAAGTGACGTATCATAAACATGCGCGGGTCATAGGGTTCGCTCGCATGTTTCGTCTCCAGACGTGTTGAGTTGCGATGTTGCACCTTAATCTTGGCAACATAACTCTCGGCCGTGCCGCGTATGGAGCACTCTGCATCCAACATGCTTAACAAGCCAGTGCGTAGCGAAGATATCAAATCGATGCAGGGCACATTATCCACATAGTCCACCTCAGCATCGCAAATAATGCCTTCATCACGACAAGACTCCACCGAGGACTTAAAGATGTGCGTATTGTAGAAATGTTGCATCGTTTCGGCGCACAAATTGATGCAGAGATGCTCTAGTTGTGCGTGTGATGGTTCCTCGAAGCCAAACATATCCAATATGCCGATAAAGCCGTCGGTGGCATGACGCACCGCATTATTTAAGGCCGCCATTGATTTCGAACCAGAGTTGCCGCCGATAGTGGAGGCGTGCTGTGAGGCGACATCGGCTTGATTATGTACCGACTCATTGGAATCGGAGCTCAAAGTGCCCAATGTGGAGCCAAGTCTTTTCAGGCTATTGGCTCGTCGTACAATGGTGGCCACGGTGCGGCAGTAAAGCGCTTTCGCCAGACAATCACGTGTCATGTTGGACATATTGGCATCGCAGACAGACTTAACCAGCTGGCCACGGGCGTTGTGTGTGCGCGTGGTGAGTCCCCGGAAAAGCGCAGCTGGCGGCACGCCCAACAAACTGGCGACGGAGTTTAGTTCGGCTTCACCTTTGACGTCCACCTCGAGGCTCTACGGATAAGAAAATGTATTTATTCAATTATAATATAATATAAAGAAATTATGCATCCATATATCTGTTATAGTATACTATTTTGGAACTAGATATTCGAGTGTAAGCCAAATTCATTTATAGGATTTAGTGGTCCGATCTCAACATGTTTAGAGATTGTAGCCTTGTCTTGGACAATAATCTATGCCGAATTTCGTGAAGATATCTTCTCAAATAAAAAAGTTTTCCATACAAAGAGTTGATTTTGGTCGATCAGTTTGTATGACAGCTACATGCTATAGTGGTTAGATAACGCCGATTACAACAAGTGAGCAGATTATGGGGGAGGAAAAGTCGTGTGCAGATCGACAACTCAAAAACCGAGAGACTCTTGTATAAGTACAGACGGACATATTACACCCTGTTCCTGTTCAAGGTATAATAATAAAATAATATTATATAAAAGGTTAAAATAAAATTTAAAATATTTATAGCTAAACTTTCCCGTTCAGTCATGAATTTCGCAACATACACGATTTAAAATCATATTCAGGCGTAAATTACCCAAATAAAACATCATAACGAGGAAAGTGCTTGTGCTGGGATTCGAACTCGCAGCACTAGTTTCACGGTCGCATAGCTCTACCATTGAGCCACATGAGAAGTGCCATCAGTTATAACAAACTGACGTTTTGTAAATTTGTATTGTAGCAAAGACACACACCAATTACCGTATTTCAGCTAAAATAAAAATTGCACAGGGTGATACAAGTACTTTAAAATAGTTTAAATAATTGTTTAACAATTTATAGTTGTTGGTAAAATTATCTTATATATTTTTTGTGCTTTTATTAGTGAAAGAATTTTCTGAAGAGAAATTGATAACAACACACTATTGAGATTTTAAACTTTTTTCCATTTAAAGCCTGATATACCATTAAGCAACGAATATTTCTTTGATACGATATAAGAATGACTGATAGTTGAAGTTAGACGTGACCTTGAATGATGAAAAAGGGTGACAAGACATTGGTAACAAATCTCAAGCAGTGATTTCCGAAACGACTGTCAATTGATCGATAGAAGAACAATCACGAGACGGTATTACCCCAGAAATAGATAGTATTCTTCTGTATTTTCGCTCGTACTTTTTAGACTTTAGACGGACAACACTTTAACTAATACTATTGTACATGTTTTTCTTAAATAAAAATCTAAATTTTGATAAATAAAAATCTGCAAGAATATAGTTACTAAATTAATACACTGCTATAACTCTTATCGATAAGTTAAGCAGGTTCTTTGGAATTACGATTTCTCTTTTCGAAGTTGCAAAACTAAGTCGCCGTTAGCAACGTGGAGCTCTAGACTTGAAAAAATCTAGTCTCCAAAATATCGAATGGTTCAGGATCAGCTCCTATAAATGGGCAAAAATATTTTCCATATCTCATATATATGAAAAGTTTATAGAAATAATGACAGTTCTTCAACCCGGTTAAGTAGGCCTGACCGTCCCGAAAACGATCGTTCAAAGAGCCCATAGTTTTCATTATGACTCAGCTCGTTTTCTCTAATCTGTTGGACTTAAAAACAAGGTCGATAAATCATAAATAAAGTAACTATAGCTCGCAAAGACGAGAGCCCCTCCCACTTTATATCGTTCCCGTATATATTTCATGCACTTACTTGCCCGTCTATAAATTGCACATTCCCCAGCAGCAATACAGCAGCAAGTACACGCACTACATCCAAGAAAGGTATACCCAATATGCCCAAACAAGTCTTCCATGCCTGAAAGCGCGAAGCATCCTCCTGTTCATTCTGTACAATGTCACCGCTTTGCAAATAACGCAAATTCGCTGGCGAATAACCCTCCAAATTCAACTTGATACGTTCCTCTCTGCTCAGACCGGCAAGCATTTGATAGAAGATATGATAGTTCTTCTCCTTCGGCAGCGGACGTATGACACGTGTTTGATCTAAAAAGTAGCAGTGTATCTTTGTGCGATAGAGAGCACCATCAGTCACCTGCACCTCGATAAACTGGCCAATGCGACTCGATTCCGAGTTAGTCGTAGTCTTAGCGGAACCCAAAGAACGTAGCACCGTAAAGGCGGCAGCCAAATGTTTAAACGCATCGGTTTCCGGGCCACCACCAGCGACAGCGAATAGCTGACGTAGCAGCAACATAGAACAGTGCGTCTTACCGGCACCCGAAGTGCCGGAGAGTATAATAGCTTGCGGATAACCAGTCTCCGTTTGTTGACGTACAGCCTCCTGCACGATCTTGTTCAACTGCGGCGCCAGCGGTAATGAGCGGGTGGAGGTGAGTGTGAGTGGATTACCAACATCACGATAGGGATTGATGGAGAGCAATATAGGGCCGACGTTTGTCTGCAAATGGTTAAAGGAATTTATATTTAGTGGTTAATTTATTGTTTATTAAAGTGAGGTTAGTTGGAATTTCAAAGGTCTCATGCACTTACAAAGTAACAATTGTCGTTGAAGCGCGCCTGCAATGTGCGCATTACCGCATCCTCGGTCAATGGTCCCGGCAAATGTATCAGATCCTCAATTTCACGCGGCTGCTTGTGTGCGCCGGCGTTGCCAACATTATTGTTGTTATGGCCACCAGCGCTGTGGTGTGTTTGTAAGCTGCCCAAAAAGTTGTTGTTCACATTGCGCTGCTCGACATTGGCGCTGCTGTAACCGAAGGGTGCGACAATATTGCTGAAACTGCTGCCATGACTGGCGCTTGGATGCTTCTGGGCAATCGGTATGAAAGGTGGCAAATTATGGCTGAGGTGATGGACGTGCGCGCCAATGCTGGCTGTGGAGCGCATTGGTAGCGTGTGAGAGTTTTGTTGTTGCTGCAGCTGCTGCTGTTGGTGTTGCTGGTGGTGGTGGTGCTGTTGCGAATGTTGTTGTTGTTGTTGGTGATGTTGTTGTTGCTGTTGTATAGTTGACGGCAATGGGTGTGGTATGGAAGTGTTGCGTGTGGAAACGATGCCAGCAGCAGCGCCGGACGGCAAAGTCGCTGTGTTGCCGGCGGATATGGTTGAATTATGTGGCAATGTGTGACTAAAGCTGTGCAAATGTGACTAAAGCCAAGAAAGAAGAAGCAGCAGTGGAAGAAAAGAGCATAAGTTATACATATAAGTAAGTATGTGTGTAATTGGTAGGTAATTACATAGTAATTTTCTATAAACAGCGAATTGCCTTGTCAACGCCGGCGATTACGATGCTGACTCACCTTGTTGTTATTGCTGTTGATGTGCGTAAATGCGGTGTTTGTGCTGTTGACGTTGTTGCATGATGTCAAGGATACATTATTATTATTATTATTATTATTGTTGTTGTTGCTATTGCAATTGCCGCTATTAGATTTGTTAATTGCGTTGTTATTGTTATTGTTATTACTGCTATTGCTGCCGTGTGTGGGAATTAGTGTTGAGTGTGATAATTGCAATTGTTGTTGTTGCTGTTGCTGCTGATGCTGTTGCAAGCTGTTATTATTTATGCAATTTGTTGTTGTTGTTGTTGTACTGTTACTATTGTTAAGATGCTGCGTGCTGTTGTGCAAATTCGGTGTGGATGCATGCAAATTGAGGCCGGTTAGGCCAGCTGTGTTGACATGCTGCTGCTGCTGTTGTTGTTGTTGTTGTTGTTGGTGCTGTTGTAAGTTACTCACCGTTGTGACATTGCAATTGGCTGTGTTGTTATGGCTATTGTTGTTGTTGTTGTTGCTATTGTTATTATTGCTATTGTTGTTGTTGTTGTTGTTTTGTTGTCCCTGCCCAACATGCAGTCGATTGCGTAGGGTGACTAACTCAGTGCTGAGGCTCTTGAGGCGCTGCTGCAAGTGCACGGCTTCATTGGATGAGGATGCGTCTAAAAGAGAATTAATAAAAAATTTGTAAATTACTTATTCACGTTATAGAACTTTATTTCACAACGGCTTCCACGCTTTGAAGGGCAAGACAGAGATTCGGTGTGCATTTCTATCGAGAAACTCTTCGATTAATATTGCAGTTGTAATCGAAACGAGAGATCATTATGCTTGAAGTATCCACTTGCTAGTCAATAGTTTTTTTGTGAACTTGTTTTGGAAAAGCATTGCTTTTTTTTAATAAATAAAGAAAAAATATATATTTACAGAATTTAGTATACTTTTATAATCGTTGATTCTTTTTGAAAAATTTTGGCTTTTTTTGATCTCGTAGGCGATGGGGAAGATTTTTCTGCTAAAATTTTCTCAAATACAAAAACAAAAAATAAACAAAAATATTATTTCCATAGTTAAATATACGTAATGATCGAATGACTACTCAAAATTTTGATTTTTGACAAAATGTCGGCTTCTCGAAAAATGTTTTTTTTTGCAGAAACTATTTACACTTCAGAATGGTTTAAAAAATCGAAACTAATATTAAAAATTGTATTGCGCTTCAATCATAATAGACAAATATATCTAAGACGGTCGTGTAAAAATTTCAAGACGATTGGTACAGCTGCTTCGGAGAAGTTGCCCTCATCGACTCTGAAAACAGTGTTTCGAGAAAAACGCGTTTAAAATTTTGGGAGCCGATTAAACTTAGTAGAAATTAAATCTTAAAACTATTTGCCGGATCAACTTCAAAACTTTTCCTAGAATAATTTCAAATATATGTACATGCGACATATATGCAGAAAAATATGGATTTTTTTAAACACACATGTGGATATATCCACTTAAATCATGCTTGATCAACTAGTAGAAAAATTGTAAGCTTAATAATATTATAGTCACCACGAAGTTTCCAGAAAGTTAGGTTATGTTAGACTAGCATCTCAGAATCGCATATTACTTTATTATCATTCGTCTATATCTCAATACATGATAAATTACGGCAGATGGTGATAAAAGCTTTTCGGCGTAACTCAAACTCAACGGTCTTTTACATCGTGGTAAGGGAATATTATGAGCATCGGGGCTTTATAAATAGTATATTTATATGAAGCAGGACTCCACGACGTGCGACTGGGCTGTCTTAACTCGTCAGATATTCTGCAAAGAGTGGTCACTTCGTAAAAAAAAAAGTTCACAGCAAAGAGTTTCCGCGTCTTTTTGTGTCCGTCGACAAAACATGGTAACACCAAAAGTTCAAGGAATACTCAAAACAGTGGGCATCATCCGGCGAACTAGCTCCGAGCAAAGCAAATACTGTCCTATCGGCCGAAAACTAATAACCACTGTTTTTTTTTGTGGGAAAATACAAGGTACATCGATTACCTGAACGGCATTTACAGAGCTGAATTCAATAACGAGTTGATTCGATAACGAGTTGCAGAAAAAATTAATATTTGGGAACAAAAAAACTTCTACTCTATACACCATATTTTCCAAATTTGACCTATGTACAACTTTTGTTTTCCAAACATGAAAAAGCCAATCACCAACCACAAATTTAAGTCGACTGGGGAGGTAATCGCTACTCCACAGAATTACTTTGGAAAATTTCAGAAAATGTATATTTCAGACTAGATAAGGAAGTTGAGGCATCGCTAGATTAAGTTTATCGAGCTAAAACCAGACTAAGCATGCTAAGTAATACATAAGATGTTTTACGGGTATCCAGAACAACTAACTAAATCTAATATTATAGAACAATGAAAATACTTATTTGATGATGAAACTGAAAATACTTATTTAATGATGAAATGCTAAAATATTTTAAAACTCCTTTTTATATTCAATATATTGTAGTAATTAATTTTTATAAACTGTCTAGTTAGGTCATTTCATAATGGGTAACATTTGACATATATTTTTTTCTTTCGTAAAATTTTATGCTCTCACCTAAATGTGTTGCTGCCAAGTCCATTAGATCAAACATCTTATATTCCTTGCCTGTTTTTTTTTTGTTTGAAGAAAGATTCCATTCTCTTTGTAAAATGAGATATATTTGTTTGATTTCGAGTTAAAACAATAGCTCAGCATAATATTTAAAATTGATTGTTTAAATTTTTTCTAGGTAATCGTTGAGAGTGACAGCACCTTATTTCAAAGAAGCAGTTATATAATATAACTGGTACATAATGTCATTTTGGCTGCAAGTTAATCTGAAGAAGCTAACCCACTTAGTATTTTCTAGACTTCGCTGATTTTCGACGAAAGCTTATTACATAATGGTTATTAAATGAGAAAAAATGTCGTTCGTACCAAATTTAAGTACCTTTTTTATCATTGCTTCGTAGAGTTTACACAGTTTCTTATGTTTAAGAGAACAGACCTGAAGTGGTGAATAACCCGACAATAAATTCTGTTGGTTGGTGGTTGATAAAACTTGATCATATAAATTCTCAAGCCTTCGGCATATGATATTCTTCAATAAATTTAATTTACAGAAAATTTCAAGCAGTTAAAACCTTTTTCTAACTTTTGACGTCACTTATGCTTTTGTGGCGGTTAACCATTTGGAAGGCTTCAAAATTAAGCACTATGTAACCATCTAATAGATAACTTCCGTAGTTTTCTTGACCTCGCTCATGGTTTTTATAGCCACAAATAAGATTCAGTACAATTTTGTGAAAATTTATCACGATTCTATTGCTGTTTACTATATTTGTCTAACAGAAATTTATATCCGTCTGTTGACAGCTGACAGTTGACAATTGCACTGCTCCATTGAAAATCAATGAACGGTAAATTCACAAAGTTAACAAATTAAATAGATTAGAAAAGTTAACAAACTAAATATGTATGTATATGTAAAGTGTATGCTCTCATCGAAAGAGATTTATAGCCACTTCTTATCTGCTGACAACCAACTGAGCTTGAAAGCGACCGCTTATGATAATCAGTACTATGTATGTGTATGAACGTGTAAATATACAAATCTTCATTAGCAGTTTCGTGGTCAACATTTTCTACTTCCAAACTGGCGATTATTTAAATTGTGTATTGTGCCGAGCGGCAGTGCGTTCATTATGTGAAGCGCGATTTCAATAATAATAATGATAATGTTCAATGCTCAGCGCCGATTTATGGTATGTATGTATAGTACACCTGTTGGTTTATTTTGCCTAAGGCTGATGGGAGAGTTGCTTGATTTTAGCTTAAAGTATGTTGAATAAAAAAATTCTAACAATAATGGTTTATCAAGGCAGCTAAAGTTGCCTTAAGCAAGTGAAAAACTAACTCAGCTTCGAACAGATTGCAACTTGTCGTGTACGATCGCGTGATAAGCACGAAATCTCAAGTTCTACATAATTAAATGCGAAATTTCCAAATTAAAATTTAAAAAAAGCGTATATTTAGATGCGAAAAATGAAGAATATTAATATTCAAATCATTCATAATACAATGAAAAGGTCGCACGGCAGTGAGAACAGGGCAAAGAGTTAGCGCAAGCGAAGTGGAGATTAATTGTGTGTGAGAGAGAGGGAAAGAGAGAAATATGAGCAAGAGTTAACTTCTTGGACTAGCTGAATGGGTCAAGTGAGTATATAACCTAGAAAAATTCGAACCGATGCTGGCTCAGCTTCACCTTGCTGGCCTTTGTGATTGTAATTCTTGTTGCGAGTCAACGATCTTCGCTTACTACCGTAAAGTGTTTGTTATGGCTATAAAAACTCATCATTTTCGGTTTGTTTGCATTAATTATAATTTCTGCGCTTTTATATACATTTAATATAATTTTTTTAACGCACATTGGCAACATATATACATACACATTCATATTGTGCTGTCTGAGAAAACATGAAAGTCATTTTGGGTAGAATTTTTGACGCCAATAAAAAAATATTCGCTATTTTTAAAGGTAACCTTAAAGAAAATTTAAATATTTTTTTTTAATATAAAAAATTAAGGTTATGTGAACAAAGAAGTCTATAAAGCAAAATTTTGTTTGAGTCATTAGACTTCAAGTGGAAGGATCACCTATTTTTGGCGTTGATAGGCGAGGCATGACATTTTCCAGAAAATTTGTTAGTTCGACTTATGAGTCCGATAGATATTCGATATTAAAAGAAGTATCTCCACCATTAAGTTGTTTTCATGGTGGTCATGGTTTTGAAAGCAAAAAGTTGAATGTGGAAAACTCGTTCCCCAAAGAATTTGCCTTAGCTAAGATTTGAACCCATATTTAAGACAGATATGGCCTCTCAAAGAAACTTGTACAAGGTATTAGATTTTATATTTATAAGTGACCTTTTTTTGTCAGCGACAGCGTGACACCGCTAAATTTTGGAGATATGTAAGTTGATATTTAGACGGGTGAGTCTGATAGTTATTCGAAAACAGTGTTTCAAATTCTTGTTCTTGCCGTCTTAAAACTTGGGGGGACTTGAAGCCATATGTAACATAGAAATTTGTATTCATGTATAATATAGAAATTTGTTCGTAACATTACTTTTCAATAATCTTAGGCATATAACTGATCATTTGAAAATCCGTTAAAAACCTCGCTTTGTATATATGTGTATATTTTAGAACCCAACCAGACAAAGTACGATAGTCAACAATCTCCGACAATTATACTAAACTCTTCAATTATTATGATTATTTAGGGTTTGGCACGAGATTTCACAGGTCGTGTTAAAAAAAATATGCGTCTAATCACAGAAGTCTAAATTAGGAAGCTGACTTCTATGTATTTGAGCAAGACTGATTGTTTTAGTTGTTTTTGCTGTTATAGTAACAATAAACCAAACAGTTCAGAGAATGCTACCGAGTTTATAGTTCATGGCCAGATGGCCGGATCTACGTGCGTTGGTACAAGCTGCTTTACAATGTTTTGGGTAAACTCTCTGTACTTCTGCTTCTAACTATTCCTATTAGTGTGTAAAGACCCGCTAGTATACAAAACCTATGCCAAAATGTATGCCAAGACCAAAAGTTGTACTAGAGG